GAGTAAGGCAGAGTCTCCTAATGGGGGAAACTTCTACTTCTCTAGAGCCCATTAGAGGGCTTTCCAGGAGTGGGGGCCACCCCAGCCTTCTGAAGGGTCCTCCTGCGTGCATCTGTGTGATGGTTGGACTGTCGGGCCTATTGTCCGTCTGCTGACTTGATGGGCCCAATGGGGAAGTCTGGCTCTGAAGACTTGAGTCACAGGATTGTCCCCTCCCCTTCAAAGCCATTGCTTACCACCCAACAGCAAACGCTATCGTACGAGATCTTAAAAGTGCAGGAAGAGAACACCCCTTTCAGTGGCTGAGGCCAGGTTCAGGGCTCAGCACCAACCAGGGGAGTAAAAAATGTCTGATGCATGCTTGGAACGATAATGGAATTCCTCCTCTTCTCTCTCTTCTCTTTACGAAAGCTTCATTGCCTGTTAAAATGAGGCCTTTGGCCTCGATGGGCTCAAAATTATTTGAGTCTGGCTTCCTGGTCTTAAGAGCAAGACTCATTAGGTGCCAGCAAGTTTCATTTCTCCAGGATCTGTACTGAGACTCCCGCCTATTATTTAAACAGTTAGCTGTGGGAATAGGAATGTACATGGAGTCACTCTATAAACTCCTTTCTGGCTCCCTCCGGGTGCCCACCAGGCAAAAATGCTAGTGACTGAGTCGGAACTCCGTGAATAGGTGTGGATGGATTTGGTACCATGCTGCAGCGAGGTGGCAGTGTTTTGTTTTCAGTCCCGGCACTTGTGGTAATTTCTATCAACCATGTCTGCTACCTTTTTTAGGAAGGATTCTTGTAGTTAAGGTGCTGCTGCTGATTTGCCATGAGTGTCCTTCCTTCTAGTAGACACTCTCCAGATTGCAGGATTATTCTGTCTGGGCTAGACTTGTGCTCTCCAGTAGGGCTACTGTAAAATCGTGGAGCACGGGGGTGTCAAGTGCAGGGCCCGGGGGTCCAATGCAGGCTTCAGCACTTTGGATAGGTTACTCAATCTCTCTGGTCCTCAGTTTTCCCATTTCTATAATGAGAATATGGTAGTATCTACCTCACAGGGTTGTTACAAGGAGTCAAAGGAATGACACATGTGTGAGGTTAAGCCAGTGCCTGAACATGCTAACAACTTAAAGTTATTAGCCATCCCTTAATCAGCATAGTTAACGTTACTAGTTATTACGAGTGTTCATGACTGTTGCAAACCTTGGTCGAGTAATAATGCCCATGGGATAAAGTTGGGAATGAACCGGAGGAATGGAAACTGTCTTTGTCTTAGGGTGAGAGGACTCCGACCAATCATTTCCATTACCGTTACTATAATGGCATTTAAAGAAATTCAGAAGGACCGGTACATTTGGTGAAGAAGGGTATAAGCTAACTCATTTATAGTATAAGATCATAGTGGTTGAGTTTTTTCCTTGCTTGGCATAATGTGTAGCTCACGTGGAGTGTGGCGCTTAGTAGTTTCTAAATCCTAGTTACACACTGTAGTTATTCCAGGTTCTTGGGGTTGATGGGGCAGGCTGAGGAAGAATATGTATCCTTTTGTTCCCAAGGCTGGTGGGCTTGTACATTATGTGGGGTTCTCTCAGGGTCAGTCTGTAGAGAGTGTATCCGTTACTGCCACAGTACTGGCTGTGTAACAAATCACCCTGAAACTCATTCTGTACGTGCCTGAAGGTGGCTGATCAAGGCTGCGCTGCGCTTCAAGTTGCACGTTGGGTATAGTTCTGTTCCATGTGTGTCCCCTCCTCCTTGGACCAGTGGGCTACCTCGAGCATGTTGTTCTTGTGATGATGGCAAAAACCCAAGAGATCCCGCTCAATCCCGCAAGTGTATTTCAAGCTTAGGCTTCTGTCCTTTTTGCTCACCACCCCCTTGGACACAGCAGATCACATGGGCAAGCCCAAGGTCAAGGGTTGGGAAAGAACCCTCTGCAAAGAAATGCAGAGTCCTAAGACCAGAGGGTGTGGCTATAGGGAGTGGTAAAGAATACAAGCCACTACATCAGTCTGCCTAGTTCCCTATTTGACTTCCCCAACTGAGTCATTGCAGTTGATGATATGAAAGAGCTTTCCTTGCTTAAAGCAGTTCCGTTGCTCCCAGTACCTGCATTAAGATTCCACAAGCACTCTGTAGCATCCGAGCATGTTGCAAATTCCCCTTTGGTCTCCAGGAGCCTTTCCCCTGACAGACAGGAATTTACTCTACTGTAAACCAAAGAGTCCCAGTTTAGACAGACACGATGGATTAGGCAGACAGCATCATTGACCCGGTTCCACTTCGTTAGCCTTTCCAATTAAGGAGGATGTTGCTGAAAGTGAGACCTCACCGATATATAGTCATACCCAGAATCTTCTGGATGGAGCCTCTGTAGGGAAAGTCTTCTATCCTGAATGTGCACAGAGAGAGAGGGGCAACACTCTGTTGGCAAGTGAGCGCCGAGTGGTAAGGACCGGGTCACTTGGAATACTCAGTCTTCTTCCTGGCTAGGTTATTAACATGCAGAATACATAGGATTGGACCCCTGACCATGTGCCAGTAGGGCTTCTGATCTTGGAATACCAAATAAAGGGTTGATGCTTTATTTTATCTAAGGATCAGGCTCTGGGCTTTGTCAACACAGTTGACAGTTTTCTTTGGTTTCCCAAGGACTGTCTTTCCCATGAAGTTGTTCTTAGGGGTTCAGGATGGCAGTCTCCCCTCCCTACCCCTTCAGGATTCTGAGCAGTGAAGCATAAACCCTAAGCCATAGCCAAACAGGCTGTGAAGTACAGCTTGGTCAGTCCGGGCGGGTACCCCGCCCCCCAGTGCAGTGCTCCACTAGGACCCCGCTTTGAGAATGAGGCCGATGTTTGAGTCTGAGAGGAAGCTTCTTCTCTTGTGGTGGAATCTAGATGAATCTGAACAGCCAGAGAGACAGAGGCACAGACTGACAGGAGCTGAAGACCTCGCAGACCAGAGAGGACGGCCTTGCCTCCCAAAGACAAACATGGGTCCTGTCCAGTATGCTTGCTTGTCACAGAGAAACTGGAAGAACAGGGTTAAGACTCCCTCCCTGCATGGGAGGATGAAGAGGCTGGCGAGAGGGGGCTCCACGAAGAATGGCGGAAACAACGACCCAGCTCATTTGTATGGCACAGCGAAGGTTCTCACCCATAGAGCTCCCATTTCTTCATCCTTATGAAGGAGCTACTACGTTTGAAGAGAGAAGCCTAAAATATTTTCAGGACTTCTCCAAGTTCCTCTCTGGGCCAAGGCCGTGATGTCCAGAGAGTGGGAGGAGGGCTCCACTCCATATCTTCCTGGGTCTGAGGAATATTCCATGCATGAGTATGAAAATTATAATTAGATGTTTAGAGAACGGTTTAGAGAACGGTTCCATTAGAGAACTACTAGGAGCTAGATTCAGAACTGGAATCGGGGGAGAGGAACCCCTCATCTTGAGCTCAGAATGACTTTGGCGTCATTATAAAGATACCACAGAGGAGTCATCAAGCAAGTGAGTTATCTGTTCACCTAGGATAGGGGTTTAAAATGTTCCAATTTTGCTACACTTCCTTTTTTTTTTTTTTTTAATGTAGTAAGAACACAATATGAGATCTATTCTCTCAAGAAAATTTTATGTGTACGATGCAGTGTTGTTAACCACAGCTACAATGTCGCACAGCTGAACTCTAGAGTTGGTTCATCCTGCATGACTGAAACTTCGCATCTGTTGGGTAGCACATCCCCATTCCCTCTCCCCCAACCCCCGACGGTCACCCTTCCACTCTCTGCTTCCATGAATTTGATGATTCTGGATTCTTCATAGGAGTGGAATCCTGACATTTGCCCTCCTATGTTTGTTGAAGCCATACAAGAACCAAGGTCAGGAAGTAACCCTCCATGTCCACGGATGGATGACTGGATTGAGAAGATGTGGCAGATGCACACAATGGAAAGTTATTCGGCCTTAAAAAAGAAGGGAGTCCTGCCATCTGTGACCACGTGGACGAACCTTGAGGATATCGTGCTGAGTGAAAGAAGTCAGACCACAGAAGGACAAATGCAGCGCGATGCCTACACTTCCTTCTCATTCACACCATAGGCCAGGGGTTGCTTGCTGCATGGCTTCCTAGAACCCTGTGTTGGGAAGTCGGCTTGCGTAAAGCAAAGCTTCCAACCTGAGCTTGCACTCAGGGCCCAGAAATCATGCCCATTCTCTGTAAGGGGCAGCTTGAGGTTACTTTCCCAGAACCATGAATCCAAGGGGGTTCAGTTCAGAGTGGACACGGTGCCGAGAAAAATAGCCTTTATGTGCTGGGTTTCCTGTATTTCTTGGAAACCCCTTGCTGAAAACCACTACCTCCTCCCTATCCATCCCTCCCTCCTCTACTCACCCTGCCCCCCACCTAGAGAGTTCATGTTTAATGACCCGTGACATTACCACCAAGCATTTCCAGTCAATTGTCTTTTGTGGGGAGCGGATGAATAGGACTTTTCTCTGGCCTTCTCTATCCTGAAAAGTCTCTTCCCCAGCCCACTGGAATGTGCTAGAAAACCAGGAATTAAGCTCTTCTTTTTCTGTCTCTCTTTTCCTTCCCTCATTTTTTCCCAAGACCAGACACAAATTGGTGGCCTTGCCCCTGATCGGGACTTTCTAGTCTTTCAAGTTTATTTCTAATCCTCTTACGGATCCATCCTCTCCTTCGTGTAGAGGATGTGAACACACTTGGAGATAATGGACGAACATGCTTTCTTTCCTGTTTCCTTATATCTGGTCATTTTGCATGATCTCCATGCAGGTGTCCCCTTAGCCTCTTAATGAAAATCTTGAGCCTCCTTAATCACTGGGGTGTGGGAGGAAGTTGGGGGAAGACTGGGGATGGGCCAAGCTCATGAGTCATGAGAATGGGGGAGACAGTAAAACACGGAAGAGATCTCACTTTGTTGGAAAATGATGCTGGCTGGGTTGGTAGGTTCCGTTTTGCCCATCGCTTATGTGTGTTTTCTCCTCTCTTCCCACAGGACCCTCATCCAAGTCCTCCGATCACCCTGGAGACCCAGGTCAGTACCTTCCCATGGCCTTTGTCACTTAACCTCTGCACCAGCTCTCCAGGAGACTTGGGGCACCCTCTTGGCTCCTTGACTCAGAGAGACTGGACAGGCAGATGAGGCCATCCCCCTGCCTGTTGGGATGTGTGCCCACATACACATGAGCCGATTTTGTGTGGGCATGCACGCATACGTGTACCCGGGTGTCTGCGTACCCATTTTCTGGCCCTGAAAGGCGACCTAGCCTCTCAGCCACCCTCTTCCCATCTGGAATATTACTGCGAGGGTGGTGCCTGCTTTGCAGGGTTGTGGTGAGAACAGCAGAAACTGGTGTCTGTAAAGTCATCAGTACGAACTCAGGGCTGGTGAGGTAGCTTTTGAACCCAACACACTGTTGCCTGTCTGACTGAGCTTGAAGGGGAGGCATCTTTGGATCCATTATTCCCTGGGCTCTAAGGGTTGGTCCCAGAGTAAAGAGAGGAGATAGGATGGAGCCTGTCCAGAGCCCCACAGCTAACAGTGTTTGAGTGTCTGGGACAGGCAAGCCTGTGTGAACATTTCAAGGCTGAAGGGCAGGTCTGCAGATGTTTCTGGAGTTCTCTAGCAAGGACCACCTGCTGTCTCAGTCTTCAGCCTCCTCCATGGGTCCTTGTCCTCTCACCAGTGTCTCTGTCTCCCTCTCCCCAAGGGGAATGAGCAAACCCACCCTTCTTCTCTTTCCTTGCTCAGAAAGACCATACCTGGTGGGAAAGGGGGAGTCTTCTGTTTTCTCATTTTCTTCTGCATGCACATTTCATTATGTCCGCTTCAGGGATGACCAGCCAAGAGAGCGGGCAGGAAAGAGCAGTGGGCATGGCTTTGAGGGGGACGCAGGCCCAGATGCATCCCCCTCTGGCCATCCTCTGGTCTGATCCTATTCCAACCTCTGCCACCCACCTACCCCCTTACCACATTTGCCTTATGGAAATCACACTTGTTCCAAGTCACCTAAAAAATAGATTTTCCTTAGATCAATTTATTTAACTGTCTTAAGTGGGCTCATCCTCAGCTCGTGGCTCCCAAGCAAGGCTATCTTGCATCTCTGGAGTACGTTTGGTGATGCCTGCAGACAATTTTGGTTCTCTCACCGTGAGGTGGGGAGCTTACTCCTGGCATCTGGTGGGTGGACAGCAGGGATGGGCCTAACGGTTGCACAGTGCACAGGCCAGCCTTCCGCCCCCTAGCAGAGCGTGACCTGGCCTAATATGTCACCAGTGTCAAGGATGAGAAACACAATTCCAAGAAATGATACTGGTGAAATCACAAGCATGAAATCACATACTAGTTCGATTTTTTTTTTTTTTGACACAACTTCAAAATAAATGTGAAACTAGCAACATGGAAAAGTTTCTTTTGAGTGCCCCCTAAAATCATCTGCACGTACTCCCAGGGGTGCATCTGCCGCAATTTGGAAAACCCGGCCCGCCCCAGTCTCTTTTGTGGATTGCCGGAGAACTTCCCAGGTGTGCTTTCAAAGGATGGCCCTTCTCCTCATCATAATCAGTCCTTCCCCTGAAGAAAACCTGGTAGACGTAGGAGAGCTCGTGGGCACATGGTCTGTGTCCACAATTCTGGAAGCCAGACCTTCTCTCCCAGGGCGGAGCGGTGCACCCCAGATAGTTCTGTTCTTGGCCCTCTTGTATCCTTTGCTATGAAAAACATCCCGTCAGCCCTTCAAAACTTCCCCAGGAAAGAACAGTCACATGCCGATGGCTTTGGCCAGCACACTGTGAAGGGGACAGCTCACCCCCACACAGGGACCTCTCTTAGAGTCACACCCCATAGCCCAAGGGGCCCGACCCTTGGTTCATGGCCACACATGGCACAAGGCGGGCCTCCTGTGTTGGCGCTGGACCACTGGGGAGATGATTCACTTTGTCTCTGCACCGCTCCGTCAGCCTCATCTGGCCCTTGGTCTTCGGAGAGCCGTGGGCTGTTGTTGTCTTTGCCGAGTTCTAACTTCCTGTGTGAAAGAGACTTTGGAACCCAACCAAAGTACTAATGTTTTTCTGTAACTGTTGGCACAAGCCCGTGGCCAGATCTCACTCTGTGCAGGGGGCCGTCCATCCTGGGACTCATGATGGTACCCTATTCAGCTGCCTGCGGGCGGGTCAGACAAGAGGGGCATGGATGAGCTTCTGGCAGAAAGTGGTGCCCCAGATACCACCCATATGGCAGGAGCAGGACAGCAGCTGTGGCCCAGCTTGGCAAACCCAACCGTGCCAAGGTAGATGACAGATGTGTGTGGCCTGGGTCCTCTCCCACTTCTCCTCCCCACCCCCACACCAACCCCCTTTGCTCCTAAGAAAGGCGTTAGCCACTCGGTCCTGGAGCAAGGTGCCGCAGGGGGGCTGCCTTTCCTAGCTCACTGTGAGCAGTGTCCGTACATCTCGCATCTGTGGCTCAGCCCACACATGAGCATCAGGCCACCCCAGGCCCCTTCCCTCGGCGCATGCGCGGGGTCATCACCTGGTCCTTGGCGGATCTTTGCTTGGGCAGCTGCGAGGAGGTGGGGAAGGTAGACGGCCAGGCTGCTAAGGTCTCCTCTGGAGCTCCTGGGCTGCGACATCGCTGACCTCTGCATCTGTTGGCATCAGCAGGACCTGCTCTGCTTAATGGCCAGATGAATAGAATGAGGCAGCCTAGGAAGGTTTAAATCCCTGGTGTCAGATTTCCCTCAGCAGGCTGCCCCTGGGGTGTACCAAGGCAGCCCTGACTTGCAGTGGTGAATGCTTCCCCGTCTCCAGATGGTGGTTACCCAGGAATCGGGGGGGCATAGAAATGAAAAACCAAGTGTGAAAGGAGTTCGAATGCAGTTAGCGGCATTCCCATGATCCCCCCTTCGCGCGCCACCCCCCCCCCCAGTGTTTCCTGTTTGTCAAGAACTAGCTGCTCCCGCTGATCCCCAGATGCCTCATTCCGTAGGTGCTCTCATGATACCCATTTTCCAGATGAGGAACCTAAGGGTCAGAGAGGTTAAGTAACTTGCCCAGGGTCACACTGGAAGCTCAGAGCATTGGGGAGTATCAAACTCAGGGTCAGAAGACCCCAGAATCGATCTATCTTCTCAACTTCTTATTCTTCCCGGGGGGGGGGCGGGGGGAAAGAGTTGCCTGGACTAGTAGATTTGAAATAGCTCAGGCAAAGCTGGAAGGAGGGGCTTGATGCATGCAGCCCAAGGTCTAGATAGACAGATGGATGCTTCGCACAAATGTCCCCAGAGGTGGTTAGATAAATAGGTGGGGAGACAGATGGATGATAGGTGAGCAGATACGTAGATAAATAGATATAACGTTTCGCACAGTGAGTAATTCCTTGACAGATAGGTTGCCACGAGGCTTTTGGATAAAATGGTTTAAGCAGCGGAGCCCGTAGAAAATTTATTTTAAAACAAAGATGAAACCGCTCCCTGCACATCAATAGTGTTTTGATAAATTTAAATGCTCATTCTTTGATTCTCTCCTTCTCATTGATCCCCGAGATGGTTTATCATTTCTGAATCCACTCCAATTTGGCAAGACCTCTTGTCATTTAATTTTAGCCTCTCTGCCGTATCCCTCCACCGCCCCCCCCGCCCCCGGCCCGCAGAGGCTTCACTGTCAATTAGTTAATAGCCTCTACTCAAATATGGGTACCCTGGGGGTTATAATGAAGGAACTCTTAGAGCAAAGATTTGTCAATCTGGGTATTTGTGAACTTGGCTGTGCTTAGAGGGGAGCTGTGCCTTCGTTTACATGGAGATTACCCAGGACCTGAAGGTCAAGGGCATCAGGAGGAAAAGCCCTGATTGCTCCGTGTTCACCAACCACCCGGGTACTTGAAGATCTTGGACCACCTAACCATGAGTGTAAAAGGAGGGAGTTAACTATAGTCACTTTCTGTAAAGATGACGGAGGGACCATGAGGATGGTGAGTGGTGCTCAGGAAGAAAATGAGAAGTGGGTGGAAGGAAATTAATACTTTAGAAATTATGCCTAAGCAGATTCTTTCATCCATTTGCTAACTCCAGTAGTTCTGGGGCCAGGAGGAGGCCAGGCCTTGTGCTAGATGCTAAAGACAGAGCAGTGGACAGGACACAGGGTCCCTTGCCCACAGAGCACCCATTCTGGTTGCAGGAGTCCATGAGTTTCTGAATAATTTCAGGTAGTAATAAGTGACCAGAAATAGGACAGAGGGGTTCGTCAGCAGGGGCAGCTGGGCACTGCAGAGAAGCTAGTTTGGGGAGGGCTCTCTCTGGAGGTGAGATTCAAGCTCAGGAGCCGAGAGCCTGCACTTGAGAAAGCATTACCGGGACAGACACCGCAGTGCTCGCCTTCGGAACATTTTGCATATTCTGTCTGGATTCCTATAAACATAACGCCAGTTTTCCTTAGTATCAGACCCCCAGCTCCTTCGAGCGCCTTCAGTGCCTTCACGTCATTAGAATGTCACAATGGATGGGAATTCCCTTATCAGGCCAGGGTGGAGGGAGAAGACTGGCAGGAGTTGGGAAGGCGGTTGGGGGAGGGGAAGGGTGCTCACATCCGGAGCCTGTGTGCCAGACAGGTCCCACGTGTCTTGCCAGGGTCAGAGGAACTTTGGAGCTTCTGATGCGGTGCTGATAATGGGGATTTAGTTGAGAAATCTGGCTAACAGTTACCATTGGCTAATTAGCCGGCTCCTGTTCTGTGGAGCTGAAACCTCAGACGAAACTAGCAGCTCACACCTGGGGGTGCATTCACCAGCTCTAACCAGGGGACATTTGGCAATGTCTTGCAACATTTTTGTTACAACTTTGGGCGGGGCAGTGCCACGGGCTCTAGTGAGTAGAGGCCAGGGCTGCCGCTAAGCCCCTTCCAAATGCCCCAGAAAAAATTATCTGCCACCAAATGTCCCTAGTGCTGAGGGCGAGATACCCTGTTTGCCTGCGGACAGCTCATTGTACAAAGATGACCCCAGCCGTGGAATTGTGACCGCGGAGAAAAGTGTATTGT